CATTGCATGCGCTTCGCATTTTGTTTAGCAGCTTGAGTTTAGCTAACCAGGACAATTTCGGATCAAGCAATGCCACCAGAGCATCAAATCACCAAGTAAGGCAGCTCTTGGTTGGCCGGTGGGCAACTATTCCATCCCATGAGGGACTACTGAAGCGTGACTTGTCCCTCTGACTTGTGTGCTTCTGTCAATCGCGGCTGATTGCAAAAAAGTTGAACTCCATAATATTCCATATCCACAGAAACGCACTTAGTCTGCATATCTGCAATGGCTGGTCTTTTTGCCCGCTTCTTGAGAAGTCGAGTTTACTGAGCTCTTGCCACAAGCCATCAAGGCCATGATAAAGAACCAGACATGCAACATGCAGAAGTTGAACCACAAAAGTTGTCGTGAGGCACAGCCTCACTCTTTGCACATCACTTCAGCGCTCAAATATGTTGGTGGACATCCTTATGATCAACTCATATTTCAACACAATTTCATTAAACGATCACCCATATTAACCATACATATATTTCTTATCCGAACGCACTGATGCTTATTTTCTTGTTTGTATATAAGTCTATCCCTTGTAGAACTCTATGCCTGCGTTCTGTGTGCTTTTGCCTTTTCTTTGGTAAGATTTGCTGCGACTGACTAGAACCAGCACCCAGCTCCAAATGAACTCAGATCCCAATCTTTGTTCTAATTCCCTGTTGGTTTCGTTGTGAGTGCTTTAAACACCTCAGACGTCCAAGCGAAACTCAGACGTTGGAGTCAAGGTTATTGAAGTGTTTAGTGTTTTGACCAGCAAATCACCGTGGCGATCCACACATGTGACTGCTCATTTAGTCGGCCGACGGAGTGTCTTTGTGCACCAAGAGGTCCAAAAAGCTGAAGAAAGCATGCAAGAAAGGAACCAGCCAGGGGCAAGCACTGCATTGGAGGCACGGAGATATACGAGCTCTTACACTTTCTTGTACATTCGGTGAACTGAGAGAGAGAGAGAGAGAGATAGAGAGAGATAGAGAATGATAGAGAGAGAGAGAGAGACAAGACGGGCATTCTCAATATCTGGTGCTTGCTCTCAATACACAAACTAATTTAAGGTTCAGGAAAACAGGAACGGACCGTCATTCATGGATTGCTTTTTCCCCTGTAGTGATATCTGTGTCACGACAGCAGATGCCTCGATCAACTTTGGTGAATGCCCGGGAAGGTACACAAAGCCGAAACCAGCGTGAAAGAAGGGAGTGATGTGAAGAAGCCTTCAACATCTGAGGCGTCGGAAAGGATGTCAGTGAGCACAGGAGAGCTGGTGTGCAAGAGGAAGTATTTGAGCATCCACAATTGTTCGTGTCAAGCTGATGGTTTTTCACAAGCTGGGCGGACAGGTGAATGGGGAGCCCTTTACCAGAATTTACATGAATGAAGTCTAGAGCACTGCCACCTCTGGTTTGACCAACTTCCAGCATCACGTGCAAAAACATTTATCTTCCTAGCTGATCCTAGCTAGTCTGTTTACACACATGATATCATTTTTGAGTCCCAACTATGCACCACGTCCCTTTGCTACAACACAAGCAATCAGCCAGCCAAGCATGCCAGCTGGACAATTTTTTTGAGGGGCCGGTTCAGTCGTCAAGAAGATATCAAGAACGTTCAGAGAGTCCCAGTGGGTTGTTTTGGTGCCTTTGTGCGTAACATGCATATTCATTGTGCCAGGCCCATCTCGGAAAATATTTCCAGAAAGACTACAAGAATGGTGGGGCCTTTAAGAATGAAGAATATGAATTTGATCCTGACGATTGGTGCTGGGTCCACAAAGGCCTCAAGATCAAGGCGCTGCTGTTGCATGGCGTTTCCACACTTTGATGGTTCTGGGTCACGTGCAGCACTTGCCAAAGCCTTCGTGCAGGTATGGGCAGATGCTCTTGATCTGACCCAAGCTGGGGGAGATGGTGATGTGGAATGTTACTTTCACTATACCACAGAGCTTGGATTCCGGAACATCACACACGCGAGCAAAGCCGCTGTGGAAGTGTTCGTGCTGCTCCCAGAAGTGTTGAGTGACAAAGCCTTGAACTTGATGCCTTTCATCCAGTTGCGCTGCGTTTGGGCATTCACAGGCTTCTCTCATCACAAGTGGCGAAAAGGCCAATGCGTGGTGGGGAAGAGGCAAGGCGGTCTCCGAGTTTTTGTAGGTTAAATGTCTCAGTATTTGTCTTAGAGCCAGGGCCAGTTGGAGGGTGAGTTCGCTTTGGGCGTGCTTTCCCAGGTAGGAATGTCTTGGCACGGTTTTTTGCAAAGGGACCTATTTGGTAAGACCAGCGCTGTCGCTGTTTATCTGAGTTAAGTCCAGGAATCATATGCCATTCCAGATATTCCAGCCAACACTTGGCAGGCGTATACAGCGTACGGAAGGCACCTGACGAGTGGCCAAGTGTGGAGACCATCCTGGACAACAACTACCGCAACATGCTCAAGCGAGATATCGATTTGAAAGGTCGTGAGGCAGCAATCCAGGAGAGCTTTATAATGCTTTTGCGGTAGGTCTCGTGAATGTTTCCGAACATGGTCCGAACATCGTTGGAGACACACCCTGTCAAATTTCTTCCTGAAGGACTATCGTTCGAGGGTGGCATTTTGCATTCCAATCCTTGTCAATGCATCCATAGCCTACGATGTGTCGGAACGGCCAACACCGGAAATGGTGGAGCAGGCTCGGTTGTTTGTAATCGTTGACTTTACGGATCACCCATGTTGTTTTATCAACTCTTTCTTGCTATTTGTTTCTGGACAGGGCAAGCCTGCTGGTGTGTCGGGCACCCAGCTTATCGCAGTTTATGTTTAACTTTGAGCAATTGGCTGACTCATTTCATCCTTTGGCCAAGGAATCTCGCTGGAAAGCTCCTGAATGAAGCCGGAAAGCCACTGCGCGAATGTATCGTTGTGCGAGCACAAGGAGAAAGCGATATTGGAAATGCCAGAGCAGTGCTGGTGGAGACGACGCTTGTTTGCTATCAGGCTCCCCAAAACTATCAGGACACATTCCTGGTTTGCCAACGTGTCACGCTAATGGAACGCCTGAGCTTGGCATGTACAGGAGACTGTGCCTTTGTGTGGTGAGTGGCCCCTGGTATTTCACAGCTCACTTTCCTCATGTTCAATACGCCCGACCTGCATTTGGCAGTTGTCCACTTTTTGAGCAAGAGTCAGTGAAGACACTGAACCCTTTTTCCTCTTCACATCTTTTGTGGCGCGGAACCAATGTCACAGACTTGGTTGCTGAACATGGGAAAACAGGGATGGGAAAGCCCTTGTAGTCTATCAGCGTCAATTCTCCTGAGAATACTGTTGGCACAAAGATCACCTGTGGACACTTCTTTCGAGAGTGGCACATCATTGGATGCGTCGTGAAGAAGCTCCTGTGAAAAACAACCAAAATATAAATATAGTCAGCATTGCCAATTTGGACACCATGGTTTGGATTGGACAGCCAGCAATAGAATACTAATTTGGTACAGTCACTGCCACTGATGGAAGCCGATCAGCCGAGGCTTCGCTGCCGTGCCGAAGCCGTAGTCACGAGACGTGGCACTACACACTGGTTGGCCCTCCAGTCATTGAGCCGGTGTGCAGCTCAGACCTATTCACATGATACTTTCATATATTGAAGGTTTGACCGTGTTAATACATTTTTGTATATATATATAACAAAAATTCTAGAAACCAATTCATACTATCGTCTAGTGACTTAGGATTTGGACAACGACTGTGCCGTCTCATCTGTCCGAGTGTGTGCCCATAACTCTCATCATCGCAAGCGAGCATACTCAAGGCTACCTGAGTTTATCGCTGTACTTAGGCGTCTTCCATGGAGGAAAAATAATGACATGCGAGTTGTGCTGGAGGGCTGACCCTTCCCACATTTCCTTGAACATTACAACACTTCAATACAAAACACACTTCAGTAGCATTACAAATTGTTTTCCTCTGCCTTTAAGCTTTCAAGAACACCAAAAGAGAAAAGGAGCCATTAAGCTTTACCACATAATCAGAAATAAGACATACTGTAAAAATACGTAGGTCCCTTTTTTGCGTTCCCTGTTGTCCTTTCCCTGTTTGGCTTCTGCCCCGTGTCTCTGTGGTTTCATTTATCGCCTCAGTCTCAGTCCTTCGCCTTGGGCTTGGAGGCCCCCATCTCGCCACCATCATGTATAGGCACTTGGCTCCACACATGCATACGCTTGACTATCTTGACCGGCCCCACCTAACGAGCTCATCAACTCATTTTCCGTCTCCAGACGCCAACGGTCAAAGCTCTGCCCGCGTTGGGTTGGCGGCGTTCGCCAACGGCGCGGTGCGTCGTCTTCCGGTCTTGGTCTTCGCCTCTTGACCTGGTCTCTGGAGTCTCTCACCTTCGAGAAGCCCGAACATCTGAGGGTACACATCCTACATTTCAATTGAGAAACTTGAAGATAAGTGAACCAACTCCAGAAACCAATCAGTTGCTGTTTGAAGTATGACATGAACTTCGACTTTGTTGGTGTCAGAAACCAGAAACAACAACCATCAGCACTTGGCAGATGAAAGCAAGATCTGGAAGCAAACACCTCTGAGAGTGTACAGAGTCTCCAGCTCTCGGGGACCTCCGAAGGGGGTCGTGCACCCCACGTCCCCAAGGCTGGCGTCGGTGCTCGAAAACCGTGGGAACCTGGCAGAGGCCGAGGCGCTGCGGCGCCGCGTCTTGAAGGCCTACGAGGCGAAGTGGGGAGCGAAGCACCGGGAGACCTTGAAGGCGCTGAACAATCTCGCGGGCGTCTTGGAAGATCAGGGCAAGTTCGAGGAGGCGGAGCCGCTGTATCGCAGAGATTTGGAAGGAAGCGAAACTCAACTTGGAGCCAGTCACCCCGACACTCTGATCTCGCTCAACAATCTGGCCAATCTGCTGCAGGTTCAGGGCAAATATGAGGAGGCAGAGCCCCTGTATCGCAGGGCGCTGGAAGGATATGAGGCTCAACTTGGAGCCAAGCACCCCGAAACCCTGACATCGCTCAACAATCTGGCGCTTCTGCTGAAGAAGCAGGGCAAGTTCGAGGAGGCTGAGCCCCTTCAGCGCAGAGTTCTGGAAGTAAAGGAGGCTCAACTTGGAGCCAGGCACCCCCGGACCCTCATCTCTGCCAACAACTTGGGGGTTCTCCTGCTGGATCGGAGGAAACTCGACGAGTCGGAGGTGTTCTTGCACCGAGCCGTGGAAGGTCGAGAAGCCCAGCTGGGCAGCCAACATCCCCACACGCTCCGCTCCGTCTACCACTTGGCCCGTCTCAGTGCGGCTCAAGGGCGCTTGGAGGAGGCCCAGTCACACTTCCGCCGGGCGATGGAAGGGCAAGTGGCCCAGTTGGGAGTTAGACATCAGGAGACATTGGACTCGATCTTTGGTCTGGCAAAGCTCTTGGAGGCGAAAGGCTTCATGGTGGAGGCCAGCAGTTCCGGTGCGGTGCTAAACATCAACTCTTCAGTCTTCAGTTGTTTTTTTCTTTCCCTGCTTCGTTTCTTCTTTGCCTGAAACAAAGATGCAACATGATGCAACAACTGTTTCTTTTCAAGAACTTGAAGGGTCGTTTGCCTTGACCTAATCAAAAGCTGTCTAAAGTCAATCCGATTGCCACCCTGTCCACCAACGGGCACTCGCCGTCCACCCTGGGCCGTCCAGGCGCAGGAGCTCTACCATCGGCAGTTGGACGCCTTGGAGGCCCGGCGAAGGGGTGACTTAATGGTGAGTGATGCGCACTCCAAGCGGGTGGGGTTGAGGTGGGAAAGGATCCACCACGGGGGAGTTGTGGGGGAATCCTCAAGCCAAGTTCTTTGCCCAAACTCTTTTTGAATGTATGCTGTATGCATGTCATTGGAGGGGAAATGGAATAAATTGCTTGGGCCGCAAGTAGCTTTAAGTAGTGCCTTCTTGGCCGCAAATGCTTGGCTGCTTGTATGATGACGTTCATTACGCGTTCTTTGTGCTGAATGCGTCAAGCCTTGAACCTAGTTGGCTTGATTTGCACTGCGAACCTGGCGTTTGCCAGCCTCACCACTCCGATGGGGCTTGCTCTTGGACTTTTGCGTCCGAGTTTGGGCCGGGTGTGCAGGAGTTGCACGGCTCAGACCATCCAAAGACCCGCGAGTGCCGTGAACACCTGGAACACCTGCAGCGTGGAGGCAAAGCGTCAAGATCCACCAGCTGAGGCGCGGACAGGTAGAGGGGCACAGCCAGGTGCTGCTTCTATCCGATGAGCAGGAGCCTACTGGATTGAAGGTTTTATATATGACATATGACATATGACTCATATGAATCGGTATTGTTGCAGTTTCAACCCTGAGATGTATTTTTACGAGCTGTTGAAGGTCTACACAGACCCAAACATGGAGACTCTTAATGACCCAAAGACCGCCCCAAACGACGCAGACCGTGATCAAATCAGAACGACACCGCCCCCGGTGTGATCTGAACTGGAGAAACTCCAGGCCGTGACGCCACCAGGATTCAGCTGATCCCGTGAGCCGCATGGTCCGAACATCGATGCATCGACCGCAAGATCTGTGGGATCCGGTCTCACTTGCTCGATGAGAGCGTGGATCCACATGAGACCCTCATGAGAGCCACTCAATAAAGAGCGTGAGTGAAAAGCGTTTGAAGTTCAGACTTGATTGCCAGGCGAAACCTGCATTGACTGTGTCTCCCAACACTTGCAGTACCTCAGTAACACCCAAAGTCTAAAGTTGGATTGCGTGTTTGATACATTTCTCAGTGACGTTTGGCCATTTTCACCTGAGAATTCATCCTA